GCCAAGGAGGAAGAGGATGAGAACTTGGATCTGCACCATAACGCTATTAAGTCAACACACACACACACACACACACACTCCACTATGCAGAAAGTCACTAAGCTGTTCGATCTTGCTTGCTAACTGAGACCTTCTGGGCATTAATGAAAAATAGATATTTCAGATCTTTCTTAGATATCTTATAGATAACTCAGTCCAAACCCTGCATTTTATAGATGAACAAACGGAGCAAAGGCCACTTCCCTGGGTGACGTAGTAAGGCAGTGTCTAATACTTAGAATGGTAGAGATCCCAAAGGCACGTGGCCTCCTAGGCCAGAACCAGCAAGAGGCAACACGCAGCCCTCCTTCACCGGATCTCTACAGACGGGCTGGAGCTGCCTTTGGGTTTTCCCAAGGCATCGGCTGACAGGGAACATGTGGAGAGAAAGGCTCCCTCTCTCTACCCTGTTGCTCCCCAGGGACAGCTGTCATTCTTTTGAATGGACACTTTAGGTAACCACTCGGAGACGGGTCTATACTGGTTTCAATTTTTACATTAAGAGCCGTGGAGTTTGGCAGAGAGTGAACTTTCTTTTTTTGGCAGACACATTCACATGCTTCTGTTTTGTGTGCCCAATGCCGAAAGGCAAGTTCGTGGCTAAGGTCCGCTTTTTTCGTTATCAGACGCTTGACCTTTGGACAGGATTCTCAATCCAGGGCACACAGAGAATGCCTTTCTTAGCACCGGTGCTCTTTTTCCTCCATAATTCCCCATCACCACACGCCACCCCTGTGCCTACGTTGAGGCGTAAGTGGGCAGGAGCTCTGCCAACATTTTAATATCACCTACATAAAACGCAGATCCCTTGGCGTGTGGTAAAACACTCCCCATCACAAACACATGTGGGCCTTGCTGCTTTTGTTACCATTTTTTGGCAGCCGGTCGAGGGCCATCTCATCTCTCAGTGTGTTTTGCATTCACAAGAAGAGATAGCAGGCTAGTGTGGTCTTTGTCCCAAGTTTTGGGGTGGCAGCCAATCCCTTCTCCCCACCTTGGTAGCGCGTGCCGTCCCTGCAGCCACGGCCCAGCCTCCCCAGCTAGAGGTTCCATGCACCGAGCCCAGCGGGATACAGGTGCGGTGCGGGGCACTGGAGTGCTTCGCAAGGCTGGTCTGGGGGACATAAAGTGACAGGCGGCAGACACAGCCATCGAGAACCCAGAGGATATGCTCACGTGTCTGGTGGTATTGTCATCATAAAGCTGTGCAGCAGACAGGGGACAAGTGACATGTCCATTGCTCCTGGCAGCTCAGCATTCATGCTAATAGCCTCCTAATAATCTTATATTAGCCTTAATAGCCTAAGTATTAATACTTAAACTTCCCTGAAGGCTTGATTTTTAATAATTTTCCCTGATCTTGATGATTTATAATTTTCCTTTTATTATATCTATTTTTATACACACTTCAGGGTAATAATAACAAACGTTTACTATGATGAGGAACTGTTCTCTGCTAATTAACTTGTTGAATTCCCTCAATAATCCTATAAGGGTATCACAGACTGCTGTTCTTTTTTCTTTCTTTTAAGATATTATTTGAGGCGGTGCAGGGAACAGAGTTAAAGAGCGCACAAGCCGGGAGAAGAGGGAGAAGCAGGCTCCCCGCTGAGCAGGGAGCCTGACACGGTGCTCCATCCCAGGACCCTGGGATCATGACCTGAATCAAAGACAGAAAACTGAAAAGACAATAACTGCCCAGCTAAACTTCAATTCCACGAAAAATGTACTTCTCAACTAAAGGCAACACAAAGACATTTTCAGACAAACAAAAACAGAAACTGTTGCCAACACAACTTTACTAAAATAAATAATAAAGGGATTTTTTTTTAAGCAAAGAAAAATAATTCCAGTCGGAAGCATGGAAATGGGAAGGAGGCTGAAGGGGGATCGAATGGATCAGTTTATGGGTAAGTCACAATGATACTGGCTGTGTAACATGATGTAGGTAACATTGTGTGGTGTTCAAAGAGTGTGTAGATTTTTTTTTTAAAGATTTTATTTATTTATTTGACAAAGAGAGAGAGATCACAAGTAGGCAGAGAGGCAGGTAGAGGGAGAGGGGGAAGCAGGCTCCCCGCTGAGCAGAAAGCCCAATGCGGGGCTCGATCCCAGGACCCTGAGATCATGACCTGAGCTGAAGGCAGAGGCTTAACCCACTGAGCCACCAGGCGCCCCTATTTTTGTTTTGTTTTGTTTTTTTAAAGATTTTATTTATTTATTTGAGAGAGAGACAGTGAGAGAGAGCATGAGCGAGGAGAAGGTCAGAGGGAGAAGCAGACTCCCCATGGAGCTGGGAGCCCAATGTGGGACTTGATCCCGGGACCCCGGGATCATGACCTGAGCCGAAGGCAGTTGTCCAACCAACTGAGCCACCCAGGCGTCCCCCTTGTTTTATTTTTAATGATAACATAAAACGAGGAGAGTTGGTAAGGAACATCTAAGGTTCTTGCATTTATGTGGAAAGTGGTAAAATTCTAATTTATACTAGGATTAAGTCCAGAATTTATAATTTACCCTTGAGTATAATCATTAAACAAGATTAAAAGAGTGTATAGCCTAACAGGTTTCCAGAGGGAATAAAACCCAAAAATGATATAAAACACTTGAGTAATACAAAAGATGCAATAAAGAAAAGAGAAATACAAAAAAGTAAGATGAGTAAGAAACAAATAGTAAAGCAGTAGATTTAAACACAATATACCAGTAATTACACTAAATGTAAACGGACTATTCCATTTTAAAAAAATATTGTCAGGCTCTATTAAAGATACACAAAACCCAATTAAATGCTGCTTAAGAGAGACACATCTTTCTATATAAGGATACAGAAAAATTGAAAACGAAGAGTTGAAAAAGATGTCCCAGGGAAACATTAATCAAAAAGGAAGTTGGCGGGCGCCTGGGTGGCTCAGTGGGTTAAGCCTCTGCCTTCAGCTCAGGTCATGATCTCAGGGTCCTGGGATCAAGCCCCACATCGGGCTCTCTGCTCAACAGGGAGCTTGCTTCCCCCTCTCTCTCTGCCTGCCTCTGTGTCTACTTGTGATCTTTGTCTGTCAAATAAATAAATAAAATCTTAAAAAAAAAAAAAAAAGGAAGTTGGCATTGTTAGAATACTATCAACAAAACAGACTTTAGGACAAGAAACATTACTAGACTAAAAATGGGATACTTCCTGAGAATAATGTTGTTTTAATTTGCAAGGAAAGTATAACTTCTATGGCTATATGCATTTAATGACAAAATAAATAAAGTAAAAATGGATGTAAAAGTAGAATAGAAAAATCATATTAAATATATATTATATATACAATATATATTTTATATTAATCAATATATTTAATAATGAACAGAGAACAAATACATATATGTTCTCTCTTCTTTATATATGTATGTGTATATATATTCTCTCTCTCTCTATATATACACATATATGTTCTCTGTTCTCTCTCTATATGTGTGTGTATATATATATAACTTGTGTTACTTAAAAACAGACAAATAAATACCAAAAATGAAGTCCAGGATATCTTCTGCAAATGAAGAGGCTCCATTTGTCCAGGAATTTCAATCATTTGGAATCAGTCTTTAGAGTTAACCAGTTATTGTGATTCCCAAGTCGATACCCAATCCAAGACTGCTTGGGTCGTTTACAGAAGACCCAGGGTGGACATAGCACTCACCATCTCCTCTCCAGATCTCTCTGCAGTTCAAGAGACACTCCTATCTCCATCCTGCCCCAGCCTTATTTTCAAACCTCACATGTGTCCTGCCAGAACTGTTTCTGCTCTGACTCATTTAGTTTGCTGTGGCACCAGTTTTTAATTCGTTGGTACAATTTATCTCAATTTAGAAACTATAACGTTATAAGTTTTCCAACATAGAGTTTCCCTTTACTTGAGCCCAGAACTATGTCTCTCAACTGTTTCCTTTGTCCAAGATAGTTAATGTTGCACAATATTTAAATTTTGTATATGTTATTACATGGTTAGAATGATGGGTGGGGTTGGGGGGGATGGAAGGGTCCCTTTATACATTAGACTACCCATAATTTCTGCTTGATCCATCATTTCTTCTAACATAAGTGAGTAACGCGTATCACAACTCAGTGACCTTTAAGGAATTTGTTGTGAACTCCCATTTATTTTGCCAAAGCAAAGTACTTTCAAGGTAGCATGCCCCTGAGATCAATTGTTATTTGGAGCATGGATTTGCCTAATGAAAAGCTCGAGCATTTGGAAAGCTGTAATTCCAAATACTCAAAACTACAGAACTGAGTTCCCAATGTCTCCTCCAATAAAAAATTGCAGGAAAAAAAAAATCCAGGTCCAGAAGACTTAAATCTCTCCTCTTGACTAACTATGCAAAAGCATTCTCAATTTCTCCAAGAACTTTCCGGAGGTAAACAGTGTAATCATCACGTAGTCACCAACAAGCCCTGAAGACCCTTGAGGGACTGAGACCTGTAGACTGGAGGCACAGTGGACAGGCATGGCCAGGAGCAACATCTGAGCCCTGAAGTGGAGGTCACACTAGGGACATCAGATGCACAGATTTTGTCCTGGGGCTTCATGCATGAGACCCAATGTGAGCACAGATTTGCCAGGAGAGATTACACTGAATCTAACTCATGTCATTTGTTCAAGCTCCCTTCTTTCCCAAATAGATTAACTCTCTCATTAATGATTTGTCTTTTGGGATGAGTATTACCTTTTTGATTGTCACCTTGTCTCTTGAATAATATCTAAACTTTTGTTTTGGTTCCCATGAATCACTGTGTACTTTAATGAACTCAGGCACTCTGCCCTGTGGAGAGGAGGGCCACAGAAGACACCCTTGGGCTGTTGTGTGACCCTGCGTAGGGCTAGCCAAGCCTTCCTGGTGTTCAAGCTTTTGTTTCAACCCCACCATCCACCACCCCCCCACCCCCAAAACCTACAGGCCCCAAAGTGTCTCCAGACCTGAGAGAAGTCATCCACCTGCCGCACATAACCAGCCACTTCACTATCGGATTTAAGGATCTTCCAAACTTTTCTTGCTGCCTGCTTGTATTTCTGGGACCCCTTCCACTTCATGGCCATCAGAGAGCGCTCTGTCAGGGAAGCTGCCACGATGATGTCCAGCTGGCCATTGTAGATCAGAACCTGAAACGAAATCAAGGTGTGGGCAAATGTGGGACTCAGCAGGTGAAGCCACCATGTGTATCTGGGTATGGACAGTGTGTGCATGAGAGAAAAGGTAATGGGAGGCTTTCTGATACTGTGCTCAGAGAGGCCAGCCCAGCAGGTGAGTGGGGTCATTTTCCTCCAGTTGGCCACACCAACAATCTGAAATCAGCACAAGCCTTGGCTCAGCCATTGCAATTCTTCCAGAAGTTCGAACCTTCCTAGGAACCTGCATAAAGGTTTCTCTCAGTTACAAAAGCATTTGTACTGTATTATCCAGGGATATCACTTCTAGGTATAGCTACGTTCAAGAAGAGGACTGTGGTTACCTCTTAGTGAAACAGGAACACTATACCATTGGATTTGCGTGGAGACTGCATTTCATTAACTTGGCTTTCGAGCTGGTGGGCTGGGCATTCTCTCAGGAGCTGCTAATCCATACTACTCTCCCTTCCAACACTGGTTTTTATAGTGGCAACTACAATTTTTGGAGGCAGATGGAGAGAAGCAGGTGCCTCAGATTTGTTCCTTGTTGGAGGCAACTGGGTCTGCCATGCCCCTTATAAGGCCTCCTTTTCTTAGACACGATAGCCACTTGTCAACAATGAGGAATGTCTCTTCTTCCTAGAATACAATTTTTATTTTTTTGCAAAGATGGTGGATAGTATAGAAGAAACAACTCTGAAGCAACTCGTGCCTTTTCTCCAAAACCAATAAAGCAATATTCAGCTGGCTTGGGAAAGAATTCAGATACCAGCCCATGCTAATGAAGTGTAAAAATGGTACTATTCTTCAGGAAAGCAATGATCCATTTTTAACAACAAGTTTCGAAAATGTTGAAAATTCTCTGTCCCAATAACTCCAGTTTGTGGAATGAATTTTATGAAAATAAGCCCCCCCAATATATATAGACATATTCATTGGGTCTTATAATGAAAAACTGAAACACAGTCCAAAAGTTCCATAGTGAAGGGGTTAAATAAACTACGGAACAGAAATCCTATGGGATCATGCAAAACCATTTAAAATGTTCCACTGAACCATGCAGCAACGTGGAAAATACTTCTTGCATGCTGTTAAGTATGAAAGCTGAAAGTCAAATACATACCACAATCACGCATGTAGAACATAGGCGTATGAACCCATACACATATGGGATGCCACTTTAAAAAACATGAATATAGTTGGTTAACATAGGTGGTATAAATCTGATTCATTTTCTCCCTTGTTTTCCACTCTTCTCAGGTTATTTTTATGCAACTCACACGATACTAATTCTTGTAAGGCATTGTTACTCAACTCCCAACAAAGAGGTTTTCCTCCGCTCCATGCTACCTTTGATCTACTTGGAAGTTCTGGTTTCGCTCAAGTGAAGACCTTTGGTTGAATCCTCAAATTGGATATAAAATGTTTCACTGCACATGTTTCCATCTCTGCCTTCCTGGTGCAGGCTTCTTAAAAGGCTTGCACATAATTAAACAGCCCAGGACTTTTACACACTCCAAATCCTCAAGCAGCAGTGGGCCAGGACTGAGCCCAAGATGAAAGAGCCCTGGGCCTCTGCTGCCGGAGCACAGGATCTTTCATGTTACCCCATCACCATCACCACCTCCGCTCTCCTAAGCAGAAACCCAAAGGGGAAAACTCCTGCTCGATTTAAAGCCTCTTTAAAAGACTCAACTCAACTCTAGCAATAAAAATTTGCATTGTTTATACAAAGAAATTGCCTCAAAGACCTTGGGTACTTATGGCCCATGCAAAACTCCTACAGCTGTTTTGCCAACAGTATGGAAACAATTACACATGATCTGTACCAGCAAACAAGGCTTCAATCCTCCCCCATTCGAGAAAGGCCTGATTAGCGGAGATAATCATCTATAAAGTAATTCCTCTTCTAGAATTCCATGAAAAGATGCTGATTAACTAGCAAATACACAAGCGCATCTGGTTGTTTTCCACTCCGTGGCCACTAAATGAAGCTCGCATCTTTCTGAGTGTCTCTTGGAGCTACCTGACGATCATCCGTATATTTTGAAATTGATTGGAATTTTTTATCTTTCAGGGATGCAGATCCACAGGTTACAGCAAAAACGGGCCTATTTGTACAGCATTAGCGTACATGTTCGTTGGACTGAATTGAAATGCAGTCTGTCCCTGAGCTGTGCCCCTTGTTATTCAAGACTCATCACAAACAAGAGCTCTAACTCTCTGGAACTAGGCAGTGTGGGGCTGAACTGCATAATTTTGCGCATGGGACGCGTAGAAGGCCTACTTCTGGGGGCACACGGAAAATCTTCTTAAAGCAAGGAACATGTTTTTAACTTCTAAAGGGCACATAAGTCAAATGCAAAAAAAAAAAAAAAAAGAAAGAAAGAAAGAAAAGAAATCAGATTAATGATCAAGGGAGGTGATTTCAAAGCTGGCATTTAAGGCTGCCAGCATTAAATATAAGAATTCCAGAGCTTTTATTTTTATCTAAATGTCACATTTACTCTCATCAGCCCTGACAGGAATATCTCAGTTGCCTTTAGGGCTGGGTGAGTGGGAGAGATACCCAGGATCCAGTGAAGGGAGCCAAAGAACCAGGTGGGTGGAGCATAGGGGTGGGTGGTTCTGAGGCCCAAGGGCACATGCTACTCAGCTTGGTAGTCAGAGAAGTTCCAGGACAAGGCCCAAGCCCTGACGAGCTGGTCAGTTGTGGAGGATCTGTGTACAGTTCCTCCACATCTTCCTGGGGGGGGGGGGGGGGGGGGGGTGACCAGCTGCCCACGTCAGCCCTGGCCTGAGGAGTTTCCCAGGAGGCAGAGCTTTCGAGCTAACCCTGGGACAGTCTGGGGCAAATCTCTCCCTGAGGCTTGCTGGTATTTTAAGCAACAGGATCTAAAGACAGAGAGGAGGAGACAGAAATGAATGCAGCTTTTAGCTACCCTTGTCTTCTCAGTTGGGATTGTAACAAAACAAGGCACAAGGGAAAGACTGGCTGGACGGAGCTGGTTTGCAGTGAAAACACCAGGCAGCTCCCCCGAAACACTCAGTTTCCTCGCTTTCCTTCCTGGACAGCTGTGATGCCTCAGTTAAACTGCAAAGGGCACTCCCTTTAGAGAATTTTTTCTTTGACTACTTGGAGGTCTGACCGGTTAGCTCAGTGAAATTGATGATTTTGCTTAGACGTGGAAAAATAACTTATTAAAAAATCAATGAAGACTAAAAGGGTGGCAACAACCCCAGGAAAATATGCTTCAACCACTCTGGAAAACAGCATGGAGGTTCCTCAAAATGTTGAAAATAGAACTACCCTATGACCCAGCAATTGCACTGCTGGGTATTTACCCTAAAGATACAAACGTAGTGATCCGAAGGGGCACGTGCACCCGAATGTTTATAGCAGCAATGTCTACAATAGCCAAACTATGGAAAGAACCTAGATGTCCATCAACAGACGAATGGATAAAGAAGATGTGGTATATATACACAATGGAATACTATGCAGCCATCAAAAGAAATGAAATCTTGCCATTTGCGACGACGTGAATGGAACTAGAGGGTATCATGCTTAGCGAAATAAGTCAATCGGAGAAAGACAACTATCATATGATCTCCCTGATATGAGGGAGAGGAGATGCAACATGGGGGGTTGAGGGGGTAGGAGAAGAGTAAATGAAACAAGATGGGATTGGGAGGGAGACAAACCATAAGTGACTCTTAATCTCACAAAACAAACTGAGGGTTAATGGGGGGAGGGGGGTGGGGGGGTGGGGTTATGGACATTGGGGAGGGTATGTGCTATGGTGAGTGCTGTGAAGTGTGTAAACCTGGCGATTCACAGACCTGTACCCCTGGGGATAAAAATATATGTTTATAAAAAATAAAATTAAAAAAAAAATCAATGAAGACTGTGATTCCACTGTTTGTACTCTATAAATACAACATTTTCGAAAGGATGCTTCAAACTTGGGAAAAAACACATCAAAATACTAACAGTTAAGGCAGCTAAGATGTGGATTTTTTTTTTTTAAAGATTTTATTTATTTGAGAGAGAGACAGTGAGAGAGAGCATGAGCGAGGAGAAGGTCAGAGAGAGAAGCAGACTCCCCATGGAGCTGGGAGCCCGATGCAGGACTCGATCCCGGGACTCCAGGATCATGACCTGAGCCGAAGGCAGTGGTCCAACCAACTGAGCCACCCAGGCATCCCTGGATGATTTGACTTGACTATTTTCTAGGGGTTTTTTGGGGGGTGTAAATGTAATCAGGATGTGCTTATGAAGACAAAATAGTAAAATAATAACACTAAGATGTCGGGGACCTTGGTTGGCAAAAGGTGGGTCTTTATTGAGGAATAATTTGTATTAACTCAAATATTACCAGCTCTCGATTTTCATGACAGCTAGGTAAATAGCCTAACTAGTTTGCTTGTGGACGATCTTAAAAACTCATCCAGAAATCAATAAGTTATAAGAAATGGTAGGAGGTGACTGGATTATAAGCATTGTTTGTTTGTTTGGTCAAAAGGCAGAAATGAGAAGAGCATTTTTGTTATTTACTTTCCGAAGTACTTTCTTATACATATGGCTTTATTCTCTGACTGCTTCAGGACGCCGGGGACGAGAGGAATTATGTCTGCCTCTACTTAGCTGTTAAGGAAATTGTGACACAGCAAGGTGCCAGAATGTGTCTGAGATCCCAGACTTCCAAATTCCTACCTAGAACTCCTTAAGAAAAGGGCTGAATTCCTTCAAACCAACAAGCATTTCCTGACTCCCCACAGCTAAACGTTTAGTGCTACCGAAAGCCTCAGGGAGCGGAGAGTTGGCGGACTGTGAGACACAGTTCACATCTCTAGTTCAGAAACCTCGGTCTGTTCGTCCAAGTCTGGTGACATCTCTCCGTCATTTCTCACTTGGGCTCTGTGATGTGTACCAGGCCGTTATTCGGCTGGTGACAGATGCCTCACTTCTGTGGTAAGGAGTGCCACTGAGG